TCATTTGTTTTTTAGCGGTATCAGATTGCTCGCTGACAGATTTATTAAATAGATGTCAGCGCTGTGATGGACGGGATGGTATAGCAATTTCAACCATGTGTTGACATCCATATTGTTTCATATGTCTGAGACAGTGGTGCTACTTTACCAAACTATTCTTTTTATAATCACTCAGTATTTTTGAACTATCTAGGCTCTATGTTACTTGACTTTTTGGGTACTTCGAGAAAAGTTTTCCTATTAAGGGTATGAGTAACGTATAAGGAGAGCAAGTAACTAGGTTGTTTGTTGCCATTTTAGAATTCGTTATCGGGCGTTATCAAGCACGGTGATTAACGAATGGAACACATTTGGCGTTTGTCTGCTGATTGCTGCCGTTTTTTAGCATTTTTGGTTCAGATATGCGGACAGGAGAAGATTTCCTTGTGCTGCTTGAATCTGTCCGATCGAGACTTGAAGCATCTACCAAACAAGTGTTGGCTGAACTTGATGAGGTAAGAGGAGTATTCGATTCGCTGCTGCTGCCAACATTGTCTCTACAAAATATTTCATCTGTTCAGTCATTAGCAATAGTTTATGTGGAATCTGTGTAGGCATACTTGACTACATTTCTTTTCTGCCTCAAATTTGCAGATGAAATCCATTCCTGAGGAGGCCGCATCTTCGATAAGACTGGCTGCTGGGAAAGCGCAGTTACTTGTTCGCAAAAAATTGTCCAAATTCGATGAATTGGTCAAGAAAAATCTGGTAAGTGGACTGCACTCCTTCCTTCTATTCTAACATTTCATTTGATTTTGAAATCGAATTTCTGAAGTTGTTCATTGTGGTCTATTACTTCAAAGAGGTTTTTATAGAATCCGGTAGATGGAGATCTTCAGCCGGCTACCATAGACGATTTGGAAGGATACTGGGCATTAGTAGAAATCGAGCTTAATGACATTGACGAGTGTTTCCAGAAGGTGTGTCTCCACACATTGCGAATTTTCGCTACTTTTTTCTTTTTTTTGCTTATTTTTTCAATACATCCTTTCACGTCGAGGTCTTATGTATTACAGTCCTCCCCTATTTCACTCTCGTCAATACTTAAGCTTTTGGCCTGGACCATATCAAGTTTCCTTGTGTATTTAACCCTCGGCACCATTTGCCACTTACTGCACCCCTCCCAAAAAACTGAGCCGGGTTTTAGTTGAAATTTCTCCATGATTGTGAATTTTGCTCGAAATTTTTCACGGGGATAGTCGATCTCGTAACGCGGACATCACAACAGTCCATCGCGAACATGCCTGGTGCCGGCGCTATTACATTATTTTTGCACCAGCGCCTGTGGCGCAGGCTACAAGCTCATTCGCAACGAACTACGTGATACTCATATTCTACGGTACAATACCCCTGGTGACAAATTTCCAATGAATTTGGTGATCCAAGGTGTTCTGGCGCTGGCGTTTGTGGCATAGGTTTAGGGCGTCTTCCGCCCTAAACGAATCTGATTTGTGTCCTCGGAGGGGCGGGCGGGGGAGGCTGTCCAACAAAAGACACAGTCATGGGCAAAATATTGTGCGAGTTTTCGAAGAGAGGCCAGTAAATACTCAACAGTCATCTATTTCGTATGCTGGCACTTTCAATATTTCAATTTTCTATTTGATTCAGGTGGATGAGTGGCGTTCGAATGGTTGGCAGCTAAAAGAATCTCCGATTCAGGATCCACTTCTTGTGAATAATAGTATAATAATAACAACATAGCGAAAAAGAAAATCGTGACAACTCGGCCGGCTACGGTACCGATCGATCCCGAAGTTCGAGCCAAGCAGGTCGAAAAACAGGTATGATCCTCTATTTTATTTTCATGTCTATGGTGACTTTAGATCTCATAGACAGTGTTCTTTTTTGGAAATTATTTCCATAAATGCTTGCGATTTCCGAGAAGTAAGTGTTGAGTTTGCTACCGTGTTGAATCCATCCTTTTGTCTTGCAATGTGTTCGACATCGAAACCCTTTCTATAAAGAGCATATGCGTGCGCCAGTAGCACGCAGAACTCATCAACATATGGTCAGTATTTTCTAACCATAAGCGACGTCAAGAATTAGCCGGGGGGGCAAGCAAGAGGAGGGTGGAGTGAGAAAAGGTGGCATGGAAGCGGTCATCGCACAGTTCCTACCTTCCTTTTGCTTCACTAGCACCTCTTTTGTAAGTGATTTCCTGTCGTGCTCATTGACGCCGTTGAGTGGTAGTAGGAAAGGAAATCCTGGTAGTTGGAGAAGTGCCCACGGATTAAGGGTGCAGTCAGGGTCAGTCCTATCGTTGTACCTTGTTCGAAAATGTTTCTCGAACCCCTCGGTTCCGGGACAATTTTTTTACCCCAAAAAAAATTACGATCGCGAGGGGGTATATACGTGCGCGTGAAAACGCGAAACGGCAAATTTTCTCCCGCGCCGCTCCCCACTCATCACATGCCACTTCTTACAACCGAAGCAAGTACGACCCCCCTCTACAAACTCACCAAAATACGACCCCCCGTTGCTACTTGTAGCAACATAGGGTTGACCCTGCTTGCCAGCTGGGCTTAGCTTGATCCTCGAACGAGTCGTGTCGTTTCTCTAGACAATTTTGGCACAAGTAAATAACCCGAAGGGGATTGAAGGCTCGAGCGATTCAAGGTGGCTCGCCTGAATGTGGCGCCGGTAGCCACCACGCTTCATCTGCCTGTAATTTAAAACTGCCATAAACATCATTTTTGCAAACGAAAATCAAATATTTATAGAAGGCTGCTGCTGAGATGCGCCGAAAGGCATTGGCTGAAGCGAAGCAGAAAGCACGAGCTGCACAACAGGCAGAGGCGGCGACAGCGGAGAACGACGTCAGTGCTCCGCCGCGCTCGGATGTACTAATGGTTCTGTAATTTTAAGCGATCTGTATGCACTTTTAATTATTGTTTTCAAGTCTTGTGTCATTTTCGTTGTGCTGTAGCGCTTATCACTGCATAATGATAATCACCGCTGCTCTTCACTGATTGTTCCCTAGATTTCCGTCTGTACCTCGCTTTTGTCTCTCTACCTTGTGCTTGCTGCCTTTCTTATAATCTTTCCTAGAATCCGTGCTGACAAAATGTGCTTTATGAGAACGTGTCCTTCGTTCAAACAATCGTCTTCGCCTGTAGTCATTTTGTGGTAGCATTGGAAAGCGATTTTCTGTGCTATTCTTTTTTTTTCTTTTGAAGAGATCTTATTATCTTCTTTCGGTAATGTGTATTTGTGTAAAATATAATAATTATTGTTCAATCGGTGAGACTTTAAATCTATTCTCGATCAAGCTCATAGCGATCGAAAATCCCTATTCGGAGAAGATGGTATGTATGTCATGCTTCTTATGACTTTGTCTTTGCTCAATGTTTGTTTCTTGTTGGATTGTGTATGAAGATTATACACCATTTTGAATCTGTTCTTTATGTTTGCAATAATGTTTACAGGCATTCATACATTTTTCGTATTTTTCCCTTTTCCTGAAATCAAACTCCAAAACAATAGCAATTTTCGGTCTTTCAATAGGGGATTAAGCTGTGCACTTTCTTGATGTGGTAGACTCTACCGTGTGCCTTCCAAGGATGTTGCACCGACTAAGCTGCACGTAGTAGTAGATCTTGAAAAGCTTTTCTCGTAATAGCTAGTGCTATCATTCTTTTTACACTGCCCTCCATGGAGTCATCAAGTCAGCTTTCATCAGTCTCGACCATCTGGCTAAACCCCCCAAGCAAGTTCGATACGCCGACCCCCTTCTCAGAGTATTTTTCTAGAGGCTGTGTATTCTTGAGAAAAATTAGGATTTGGATAGAGTTGTAGGTTAGAGGGGAGGGTGGAGGGTAGTTGGACTGCGGAAAACTGTTCAAGAAGATTCTAGGTTTGCTAGTCCGGAAAGAAACACAAGGGTACCGAGAACAGGGTCAACCGTCCGTTGGACTTTGTCCAACGAGGGCGTGGGGGGGTCGTATTTGGGGGTTGGAAAAGAGAGGGGTCGTATTCGCAAGGTAGCGTCATGTTACAGAACGGGAGGAGGAGATGATTTTTATGGAACGGAGAGGGTTGTATTAGGGTTGTTAGCTGGGATTCTGAGTGCAATGAAATCTTTTGCTGCTTCACATTCGATATACCCCCTCGCCCAGCGCCCACTCGACGACAATCTAAGAGGGAAAAGTGGAGTGGGGTATGGGCTGTCAGTGTGTAGAATCGTTCCATGATGGGCTGCAGTGAGGGTTAAACTTGAGGGGGAGGGGTCCGTATCGCGGCCCTTCAGACCGGGAGAGGGGTCGTAAAATTTTACGGAAATTGGTCAACGTGGACCGGTTGCGCTCTGCTTGAGAATCCAGGTACCACAACGTTACCATGTTATTGCGACCTTCCAGCTGGGCTCCGTAGCTCATTTCTGGCACAAGATCTTCGTCCTTCTTCCAATCTAGCCGAAACTAATCCAGGCTATACGAAAGCCAGGGTTATGATTCGCTAAAATTTCTGTAATTATTAACACGTTGACGACCGCCGTTGTGCGCCTACTGTTTCAACATTTTTCTTGTTCTCCTCAATCAATTAGCAATCCCACATCTTTTCCCGCATTTTTCATTATCAGTAATTAAGAAATAGTTTTTCGGATTCAATAATGTAAATGGACGTTGTGAACAGGAGAAAACACCAAATAAATTAAGGAAAACTAGTTTGCCCCATGCGAAAGTGTGGTATGATGTCATACCACACGGTCGTCAACGTGTTAACATTCCAGGACTTACAAAACCTATGAACCTTCTCAGTTTCTGCAGTCCCGTTACTCCCACCACAACACTACCTAAGTCCTACCTCCTTCTCAAAAGTACACAGCCTCTTCTTCAATAGGACCCCGTCTCCTTGAGGGTCCAAGACCACCTCACTATCAAGGAATCCGCGAAGGATATCTCACCCTGGATTAGAGGTAATGATCCTACACGCACATCTTTAGTCAGGCCCAGCTAGCTAACTGCAAAAATTTTTATTGCCATTGAATCTGTCAGCATAGAACCAAATTGATCTGAAGAGGTGAGTTCATCGAGTTGAACATCGTCGATTCAAAACGAAAGTGGAAAGTGCGTCAGTCGTAAAAGGGCTGTTTTACCCCGCTTCATTTTTATCCCTGAATCTTGTGAAGAATGAGTATTGCTCAACTGCTTTACTTGAGACTTTGGTATCACCTCAAGTCGCTTTAAGACGAGTGAAATTAATAATGAGCAAAAAGTATCACGTGGATGAATCCCGAGTAGTGATTTTCTTCTCATGTACTGCCTCCCATCGCCATCTTTTTTTTCATTTTTCTTTTTATTCCGTGTGGGCGTTCTTCATCTTGCCTTCCAGAAATTTTCCACTCGAACAACTTTATATGAGCACTTGTTCTTTGTATACAAAAACAAAATCTTTAGGCAATGGAAGTTTGGCAAAACCAGGCCTGGTGTAGAGAAGCATGTTTTTCATCGTTCTGGGCGCACTATCATGCCGTTGAGAAGTGGCGAGCCGATCATGCGCGAATGGCTGCAGTTTCTTGTCGCATAGCTGGTGAAAAGGAAAAGGCATTCACGCAGAAAGCCAGGTACAGTGCTTTTTATTATCGCGTGAATTATATTCTCCTACAATAGCCAATGGTTTTAATGCTTACTGGCGAAACTACCTTACATGCATAATCCATTTTGATTGGAACCCGTACCACATCCCTTGAATAATACACGGCTATGAGGCTAGGGGTATGGTTCACCCGATTTTCTCCCTTTTTGCTTGCGAATTTTCCCGCTGCAGGGACCTCTGGTCCACCATAGGTAATGTGTAGACTCAGGGTTCCCATCGAAGAATGTTTCGCGCTGCGATAAGCGAAAAGTCGCTTTCTGTCCCAGCGAACCACACCCCTGAGAATATGACGCACTATTGGGAGCAGTGAGATACGTCCTGGATGAAGCAGTTTTGAAAGCGTTCTTAGTTGGTCACCAGTTAGTGACCCTGTTAGGAAATGCAATCACCGTCGTAGTTGTCAATCTTACCATGAGAGTCCAATAAAACCGAGAAAAAGAAAAGCTAAGCACATGGATAAGATGAGAAAAGGTAAACGCATGGATAGATGAGAATTAATTAATCTTCTTTTTGTTCAGCCGTCACGAGCCCAACGATAATTCAAGTTCTAATCGGGAATACGCGAAGAAGTCGTCGAACAAAGAAAAGGTCAAGAAGGAGAGAGTCGTTCTGAATGCGGCATACGAAGAGTCAGGTAGTTCTTTTGTGCTCCAGTTTCACAATTTTGAAACAAATGCTTCAGTATCCATGGAGGTGGAAGAGATGTCTGACGAAATGGTGGCTTTCTTCAAGAAGACGATCGAACATAGAAAGACTCGTATGTTCACTTTATTTGCATAGAATGTTATTCTCGATTCTGTCAGTACAATTTGATCGGATTACTTATCCTCTCTTTTGAACTAAGTTCCGTATGCTTGTTTTACGTAGGGTTCTAATATCAGTAACTGCAGGCGATGCTGAGCGAACCGAAAAGGAGCAGCGTTTAGCAAAGGAACGTGGTGAGGGCACAGCGCACTGGATTCATTTGGATGATGATGAATACGTCCTAGCCGATAAAAGTTAGTGTTTGATTACTTTTATTCTCGAGAGGTCTTGCTTGTTTTGTAAGGTCTATTGGATGTAGTCCTAAAGTAGACGGGCCTGCCGAACGTTCCCAGGAAAGAAGTTGAGAATCAGAAGCATCATAGTTTCACTGAAATACGACAAAATCTGCCATAATTTCCTTTTAGTCGGCGTGTACGGCGTTGAAAAGCGCACTTTCGCTGTCCCGGACGAAGAAACGCGAACGAAGGAAAGACGCGATAACGCCCGTAAATTGTATGGATCGAAAGCGGAACAGATTCTGGCTATGGAAACGCTGATGGATATGCGCTTTGAACAAGAATATGCTAGGAAACGGCCACCGTTGTGGCCCAATATTCCGTTAAAACTGTAACTTGTTGTTGCTATACATACTATCAATTCACTGCATAGTTGTGTTGAAGTGTCTGTTATAATACTGCCTCCTGTACATATCCACTGTTCTCAATTTTGTGCAGTTATATTGACTGCTCTGTGATTTTTGCAATTAAAAATGAAGCCATTGTAATTAGACATGTTATGTGTTAAGTAAGGTTGTTATCCGTTCCTGTTTAACCACTTTTCTAAGAGTGTACTGCAGCAATATTTAGCAACCCGAAGCCTTCAGGATGGGACGGAAGAGACCGCACGAACAAGAAGACGGATCTGTTTTGAAGCCGAAAAAAGTGAAGCTTGTGAGTTATGATTTTTGTAGCGGTCATGGACAAGCAATTGAGGGTTGAATTATCCTTTTGGATTGACTGATAAGCTCAAGCAGTAAAGCAAGTAAGTGATCACCAATCACTCCCGGTAGTGGAAATGGGTAGCGCTACTTTAGTGACTCTTTAACCCAGAGTAACCTTTTCTGGAGCGGAAGTGGTGTAGGGATATCACTTACGAAAGAGGTGCCAGGGAAGCAAAAGCGGAAGGTAGGAACTGTGCGATAACCGCTTCTATGCCACCTTTTCTCACTCCACCCTCCTCTTGCTTGCCCTCCCCGGCTAATTCTGAGGTTCGCTTACGGTTAGAAAATACTGACCATATGTTGATAAGTGCGGCGAGAAGTGGTGTAGTGCAGAGCAGCACGCTACACGCGCAGCGGGCGGGATCGAGTCCTGGGTCATGTTTCTTCCGGGCTAACCAAGCCCTCCATCCGAAGGGGTCGCTTAATTGGTACCAGAATTGTCTGGGAGGATAAACCCTCCTACATCGGCTGGCCCCGCAAGTCCATTGTATAGGCCAACCGCATTTGAACGCCACTACGAATGTACAAATGGAAATATTAGGTCATCTCATTCAAACATGTCCACGGTTTTATTCGAATAAAATGAACAGCAGGAAAGATAAAAAGCTAATACTTTGGTGTGAAGTCAAGCAGATCTTGTCGTTGTTAACGACCCGATCCCAGCGTCTAGAAAACACTGGACACCGCGCAGCTTCTTCATTTCAACAAGTATAGACAAGATGCTTTTGATGTCAGTATAGATGATCAACGAATTGTCGTAGCGCTTCCGAACGAGTAGGGCGTTCAGTTCGATAAAACAGCTGAGGTCGCATGGCTGCAGTTGGGAAAATACGGCTGATAAGAAGAGGCCACAATATCCGTTTGATCGAAATACCCGTGAGCAATATGAGCTATGTAGGGTCTGGTATCGACATAGGTGATGATATCGTTATTGTAGTTTTATACTGCTATTCCTTTGTCAATTTGTTCGCTAAGCGCGGGATGTCAGAGTCCGCGAATTTTTTTTTCGCGATTTGCGCGATTTTCGCGATTGTCGCGATTTTCGCGATTTGCGCGATTTTCGCGATTTGCGCGATTTTCGCGATTTTCGCGATTTGCGCGATTTTCGCGATTGTCGCGATTTTCGCGATTTGCGCGATTTTCGCGATTTGCGCGATTTCGCGATTTGCGCGATTGCGCGATTTTCGCGATTCGCGATTTTGTCGCGATTTTCGCGATTTTCGCGATTTGCGCGATTTTCGCGATTTGCGCGACGGGTCACGGAAGTCACAAGTGCCCCATCCATCACAATGACCGTCGCGTGGGACAATGGCACCCAATAGGTGGGTGCGGCGGCGCCGCCGGTCCCGGCGGCGCGGCCGGGCGGCGCGGCCGGGTGCCACCCTAAAACTTTCTTCTTTACCCATTAAAAACGTTTTTAACATATCAGTAATTATAAGCAAGCTCCGATTACGCCTATGTTTAGCATATTTTGCAGAAATGTTTGTTACTAGCTAATTTATATGAAATTTTAGGATATGGCACTTCGCTCGGCGATATTAATTAGTGTTTTACATTATTGAGCTTAAGGTGAATTACAGATCAGGACCCTTACGTCTTTTCACAGTCTTGAAGACACAAGAGGAGTTTGAACTATATCAAAAATTCTACTGTACATTTGAATTTCTTTTGAGTTTTCAAACACCATCCCTTTTTAAAATCCGAGATTTCTTTCCAAATTTCCACCTTTTAATTCCAACAACACATGATCACAAAGACTGCAGTCATATTTTGTTTATTGTCATAGTCAAAATTTTGATAGAAAAACTGCTTTTAGGGACAATTTTGCCCCATTTTGTGCGAGAGTTGGGCGCGTCAAAAAGAGGCGTGGTCCCACGAGCACGCTACGTGCAAATCCGCATTGTTGTCAAAGGGTTAATGGAGACTGCTCATGATTCCACTTGTTTCATATCCAGTGTTTCAATTGTTCAAATGGGGCACTTGCAATTTTTGTGATTGGTTTGGTTTGATTCCTGAAAAAAAAAACAAATAGGAACGATTCAAGAGCATTTCAATGAACTAATAGACATTGAACATGAAACAAGTAGAACCACAAAGACATTCGTCTTCCAATCTTTACTGCCAAGCAGAATTCGCAGCAGGATTAAACAACACCTCGCAGTATTCATTGGGCTCTTTCAAACTCCTGTGATCCATCGCAGGTTCGCGAAAATCGCGCAAATCGCGAAAATCGCGAAAATCGCGAAAATCGCGAAAATCGCGAAAATCGCGACAATCGCGCAAATCGCGAAAATCGCGACAATCGCGACAAATCGCGAAAATCGCGACAATCGCGCAAATCGCGAAAATCGCGACAATCGCGCAAATCGCGAAAATCGCGGAAAAAATCGCGGACTCTGACATCAGCCTAAGAAACAAGCCATAAACTTGAGAAACGCCGGAGGTTTTTTCCCGACAGAGCCATTTAAGAGGCACACCTCAGAAATCCATCGCCATAATAATCATCCACGTGAACCCACGTGACTTCTCGTGATCCAATTCGGGCAGTTCCTCATTCGCGTTAATCCAAAGTTGACACTTCTGACTTTGGCCTCAGCGTACAATTACACACAAATTTCGTTTATGAGCAGGGTCCAGTTTGATAGTCTTAAATGCCGTTATCGGCAGAGAAAATCATTGCTACAGACACCAATTCGATTCTGGACTCCTGCATCTGGGAGTAAATGGGATATCCAAAAACATGTTCTGTGGACCATCCCCAATTTTTGGGCACAATTTGCGTAACAGGTGTAACTAGACTGCAAGTCTCGTGGGCAAACATCGCAAAGGTTCAACATCTGTGATGCGCCATTTGAAACCTCATTTCATCCACCCGCTCTTCTTGGGGAAGGTGGACAATATGAACGCGTCCTCAACCACAACTCGCTTCCGTTCTCCCTTCTTTGAGCTCTCACACCATATCTTCAACGTAGCACTTCGAGAACACTGTATCACGCGTAAGTTGAGCCAGCACACACAGAATTCGAGTTGCGAATTGCACGTGTGTCACCAGTCATCTGGAAATTCCACCTCGATTTGGGTCACTATGAATTCTTTTATGTGTTTAAGTGTTTCCTCCTGCAGCACTATAAACTAAATTAGGGTATACCGTAGCTGGGTGTGCTAGCTTAAAAGCAAAAGCAAGTAGAATGCTCTAGCTCTTTTACTTTTCCCACCATTTCTCTAGATGTCTGGACATGTTTGAATGAGTTGACCTAATAGATATATGGTGTTAACATCCGAAGCACGGGATTTGATCTATCAGAAATCAAGCTTTATCCTTAACCTTTACTGACGAAAATGGCGTTCTTCATTGTCCTCCAAGGATAGCGCGGGGGCAGTTTCAGCAAAAAAATTGCAAAACGTGGTCCATTCCGTCGAGATGCCAAGATTCCATAGAGGTCAGTGATGTAAATACGGGGACGGGAAATGTCATTTTCTTGCTTCGGTGATAGAGATCAGCGAGTAGTTAGATGATATACACTACACGAATTCTTTGAAGGACAGTCGATCCCAGACAGTTTTTCAAGTTCTCCATTACCAAATTGACTGATTTCCTATTATATCACCTTAGTATGATAGGTCATTTGGCGCCTTTGAAGAAGGATTATGCATTTCTTCTCACCGTTTCAGGAGATATCGAGTGATCTCAATGAAGAATTGGAGCAAGTCACAGAGCAGAATGACGTTTCATATGAAAAGAAACCGAAAAAGAGAGACAAAAAGAAACGGGAACGCAACGAAAACCCAGAACAATATGCTGCAAGAGGTATTGGCTTTGCTTTTCTGGCTGTTTTTACGGTTCTCATAGGACCTGAGATATTGCTTTCCCCACGATGCCTCCTACAAGTTCTTATTACGATCCATTTTTTAGACGACAGAAGCACATCCGCGGAAGGAGTATCGACGTAAAGCGAGAGGAATGAACTTGTCAAGAGTTGTAAGTTTTAACGTTCATGAAATCCGTTCGAATATTTCCATATATTTGAATAAGTTCTCAAACTTTACCTGCATTCCGTTCATGAATGATGTTGAGTGAATTTCTGCCCCCCTCCCCCCCCTCCCTTATGTACTATGAAAGGATTAAAAAAGGTTATATTTCAATTCAGAAAGAAATACTGGATTTTGAAGAGCGAAGAACATGATTCTCACGAATCCCAAATGTGGATTGAAGGTAGGTGAAGAAAATTCCAGGATATTTCTACTAGTTGTAGGACTCATTAAGTGCAAAATTTGATGCGATAGAAGACGGAAGAAAGGCACGCCGCGTAAATCAGTGTTCAAAAATATTATAATTCACACTTTGATAGTGTTAGCGGGAGACTTGTATTTGGAGAACTAACAAGTTTAATGAAGAGACTAAATTTGGCCGTCGCCCTTTAGAGGGTAACTTTTTTGCTCGGCATGACGTAGTATACTATACCAGATAATAGTTTTACTCGTGAATCGGACTGGTTAGGCAGGTACGGAAGAGAAAACGTCATCATCACCTTCCAATATCATGCTGCCATTGAGAGGCCAATCTTAGGTCGTGCAGAATTTCTTTGCGAAAATGACCGTGGGCAAATATCGACGAAAGTAAGCATAGCCACGAATCGAACGGAGAGTCTCGATCTGTAGTTGATTTCACATTTCTAGGGTTGGTGGCGTGGTAATCTCTATTGGAGCTGTACGGTTGGCCTCTTTGCCTCGTGTGTAGTTGACGATCAGAACGTTTTCCACTTAGATATGCTAGTCACGCAGGCAGTGTTTCGGTTTGTTTGATGTAGCTTCGTTTTGAAAATTTTAGATTTAGACATTAAGAGCGTGCAGCGCAAGATATGATTTGAATATTGAACTCAAAGATATATCTCATTTCACTACCGGAAAGTCAATTTCAGGTTGCTATTTCCGTGCAGCCTGGGGTTGTTCGCCATAGCTATGAAGCAAGAGTCACTCACATCTCCGAGGACTTCCTATCGGCTCTTATTCTGGAATCGATTTCTATAAGTGCACCTGTGGATGACAGACTACATGAGAAATTGAGAGGTACGGCTGAATGTCCTTTTTTGTGATAACATTGACCAATTCACATTGTAGAAAGTTGTCTGGGGATTTTATTCTTCCCGAGAATTGTCACTGGGTCTATAGTCACCTCTACTCGGTCTCAGACCACGAAGGTTCCCCACTTCTGCTTTAACGATCCTTTTTACTATATCAAGCAATTTTTCGGCTCACCTTTCTCTTGCTTTCACGAGCCGGCGAGCTATGAATGTATATTTTTTCGATCCTTGAAGATTGATGAAGTTTCTAAGTGGCTTGTATTAATAACGAGAAATCATCAGGTGTTGTACTCGAGGTGGACGATATCATAGAGGTTAAGCATAGCTGTTTAACCATCAAACGTGGCGTATGTCAGCTGAGAGGAAAGTTTGTTCGGATTTTGCGAAAAGGGTGAGGGTTCTTTTATTCTCTCTAAAGTAAATTGTCTTTTTTTTTTTACGATGAAGTTGTTTTTTGTTAGATCGGCGAAGGAAAAGGAAAATAGTGATGTCAATCCACTCACATCTAATTCGAAGAGAAGAAAAACATTTGATGATTCGGAAGGAGAGGATAATGGATCGCATTTGTACTTAACAACACATGTTTTTGTTGTTACATTGTTATTGTTGTTGTTACATATCTTGAAAAACCTTATTGATAAGTTTGTCAGCGATAAATTGACCAAAAACAGTGTATCTACAAATTCACAATATATAATGAAATTTGAGAAAAAAGCTTATGTTAACAAATGGAAGCGAAACATGCCGAATAAACTGAAAATTACTGGAAAGCAACAGAAAATGCTGTACCTCGTTGAAACTTGTCGGATTGAATACAGCAAGCACTTGACAAGCCTATTATGGTGTGTTGACACGGTAAACATATGCATTTGGTTCCAGGAAATCGTGAAAGGGTAGGGAAGAGGTGGTTGCTGAGCTTGAAGACAAACGTTTTGTTCTTGTGGTAACAAAGTCGGCAATGATGGTAACTCGGTTTCCTGCTTTGCAGAACGCTGAAAAAAAATAAATTGTGACTAGAAATAAATAAATTATCTTAATATCAAGATACGTTCGTGCACCTTACTCCTAAACTTGAAACTGCTATGATAACTGCAGTACAATAAAAAGTTCTCAAAAACATGAGTTTAGAGAAAGAAAAAATCAAAATTGCAAATCTGCTAGCTTTTGTATGCAGTTTTAGACAACCGACTTCTGAAAACTAATGGAAAAGCCAAGAGCTCTAAACCGCACTATAGTACTACGCGGGAATTGAACCATTAGCGCTATGGGAAACGGGGCGATTCGATGTGGGCAAGGCAAAAAAGCAGATTTCTATCGCGTGTTGGCCAGCTGAAAATGTATCGGCGGATTATCAATCCTTATTCCGTCGGGCATATAGGAAGTATGTAAGGGTGCGATAGCATGATGCTGCCCTTAATCTCTTCTTTAATTTGATTATAAAGCGTGACGAAAACTAAGGAATAATAAGGGATGAATCTTTATCACTTCGTTTACCCTGAGGAAAAAAAAAATAGTCGCGAGGAACTCATTCACCCACAGTAGACCTTACTCTTAGAGTTCATACAACCAGCATCTACGCCACCTCGGTTAGAACGAATGACGGTTCTTAGGTTTCATCCACATCAAAAGGCTCAATACTCCAAGGGATCGAATGAACTTGATAATTTTAAGCTCAGAGAGCCTTAACCCATTCGCGACCGCGCGGATTGCGCAATAGCAGGAGAGTCAGATTTTTCTTCAATAAAATTTGAGTGGATGGAGATTTCCTCTGCCCAGGGCTGGCGTAGATGAATGAGGGTATGAAGATTCTTTTCATGAAAGAAAACTTTCCAAATTCCATTTGAAACACGGCAGCCACCGGTGGATACCATTGTACCGAGTGAGATCTTTGTCAGCCACCGGTGGCTGCCATTGTCACGAATGGGTTAAGCTTGTCGATCAAAAGAGCACTCTCAACACGCAGTAACCCTACTGCATTCTAATGAGAGCCATTATTTTAATGAGCCAAACATTTCGACTACCTTCAAATATCAAATTCAATGCTCTCCAGATATTTTAAAAATACAGATAATTACAGGAACGTGTCCAGAAAAGTGCTGAAATGTGTAAATCCACACTCACCGCTCCTGGACTCACCGCTTTTAAACGGAGTCGCTGCTGCCTTTGTGCATTTGCTTGCAGTCGAGCCGCTCGCTCCTCTGGGGTTTCTTGTTGGCGACGTTTCCGCTGACGTAACGCATTAGCTCGTAATCGAGCCGCACGTTCTTCAGCAGTTTCATTTTCGCGACGGAGACGTTGCCGCCTGGCGTTCGCTTCAAGTCGAGCAATGCGTTTTTCCTCGTCCTCAGTATTGCGTCCAGCTTGTCTATGCGTTGTTCCGATCTCTTGGCAAGAACCTTGAGTGTCCTCTTTTTCTTTTTGGCGCCGCCGCTGCTGACGCTTAGCATTGGCTTCTAAACGAGCTGTACGCTGCTCATCCTTCTCATTCTCACGGTGGACGCGTTGCCGATCAGCCTCATCCGCACATTTTCGCCGTCTACGCTGTTGGCTTGACTCTGCTTCTTGGCTCACAGAATTTTCAAAAATCTAAAAAAAGATGTGGATATTATACATATGATCAATGATGAATATTTCTCACAATATATTGTAGAAAAAATGACACAACAATTTCGAACCCCCACTGATTCAGAAATTTCTGCAAGCAGCACAATGTGAATTTTTTTTCCCCGACACAGCGTCACCTCGCGCAGAACACCTATTATTATGGAAATATTTATGAGAATACAGAAACGAAAGGGAACGATTGGGACCCTTTGGTATAGAAATTACCGCATGATAAAGAAGTAGTACTTCACGTTTGAGGAGGTCCTAAGTACGAGAAGGTTAAGTCACATTGCAGCAGGACCCCACAAAACAACATGACAAACCACCCTACATGTGGCACTGTTCTCGCATTTCAGATGTGGCCCTACGTTTGAACGCATTTTTCACGCATTGCAAACAAAAAAATAGACGCTCACAATCTGTAAAACAACGGACTGAACAAAAGAACCCGTCTGATTACTAATTATTTGTTTAATTACTTTTTCATGTAATGAATTCGAATGTTCAAATTCAATAAAGCTCGAAGAACATGCGGGCCAAGGCTGTATTCTTCAAACGTCAATAAAAAGAATAGGATATGCTTGTAAAAGAGGTAACGCCTACCTTAGTATAATCATAGTTCCAAAAAGCTTCCGCTATAGAGGACGGATCCACGTTGAAATGAACTGTTAATCCGTTTTGGAACGAACTGAAAAATGTAGATTTGTAAGCGGAAGTAACGAAAAGTTCGATCCGAGAAAAAAATACGCAAACTAACCTTGCTCGAAAGAATGATGGCTGTTAAAGAGCTACAGCGTGAACGTCTAGGAGAACTTCAGTGTTCGCAGAATTTCAGTGTAGTCTTAACACACCTAAAAACCAAATCAGAAATAAAACCACGTGACGAGAGACTCTGCAAGCAACGTTGGAGGCAGTAAGGTTATTTGTCGTCGGCTATGGTATTTTACTAGCTACTGAAGGAACCGAATAGCAGTAAGAAGGAGCCGAAGAGTCCGTAGTTAGTTTAAGATAATCACAATGAAGCACAATGATGCCACTGCTCTCGAAAACTTCAAGAAACCTTGAAATGCCAACAAAAAACCACACCGACACAGCAGATCAGACGTCGAGCACAGTGTGTCGTGTGTAATCTGGTATTCGTACTGCACACCATAGGTTACGCCATGGTCGGCTTTATTCAGGCAATATCTATCTTCACAAGCGATTTTGAGTGTGTCACATGTCACAAATCATGTCGTATGCGGGTCGTGGGAAGTTGAGTGTGAATTCTACACCTCTGTGCTGCTCGCGATAAAGGACACTCGGCTATTTTGGTTCCAGTCTCGCTAGTCTCGCTTGTGTAGTTTTGCAGCGCCTCCCTACCCCTATTGTCTTAGGAAAATTCCGGCACTATTCAACTACAACCCCAAAATCTCAAAATTTTATTTTTCGTCGAAACTTCGCCTATAGGGGTTATTCGATGCCCTGATCACGAAAATGACATTCATTTTTGGCGTTGGCGCCATTTGGCGCCAGGGCTATTTTCACCAAATTCGCTGTAAACTTGTATACAGGGGTTATTTGGGGTCCTGATTACGGATATGACATTCGTTTTTAGCACTATTCAACGCATATTTTCCGTTTTCTTGGGCTCTCACTTGTACATATTACCTCGGACTAAGCTTAGGAGGAGGGGCACTCCTAGGCGGGTGCGGTCATTCATGAATGCTACTCGGAGAAAATATTATGGAACTCCTCTGTGGCCCGCGCACGAGGAGGAGCAGGTTGGAAGGCAATTTTGCAGGCGTTTTTTGCCCTATCGTGTG